CTCTCTCTCTCTCTCTCTCTCGATCTCTGTTTGTACATGTTTCGACAGCTGACAGCTGGTGTTGTTTTTCTTGCACTATAAGGAAGACTTGAAGACACCATGGTGAATGGGAAGAGGACGCAATCACAATCACACAACACCAACCTAGATATTTCATGGAGGTCTGAGATCTCCGACTTCTTGTTCTTCAAGTTGGAGTTCCTATAATGGTACACGAAAACGGTTGAAGTGCCGTTCTGTAGCGTTAACTTAAACGTGTCTTTTTTTCTAGTGGAAGGCGGAATTACTGAGGCACGAACCTGATGTTCCGATTCTCCTAGTGGGGACCAAGAGTGACCTCCGTGATGAGGAAGAAGCTCAGAGTGATTCAAAAGAAACTATGATCACACAAGATGAAGCGTTGGCAACAGCAAAGCGAATAGACGGTAATACACTTCTAAACTACAGATGTTATTCTGCATTTGATTTCCCCGTTGTTTTGTTGTTGTTAACGTTGTTGTTGTTGTTGTTTTCTGCTGTAATTAGAAAAAGTGGTTCCATATCAATGAATCAAGCAGGTGCTGTCCGCCATGTTGGTATCCTTGATTAACATTTCAGTGGACCGTAGCTCAAGCGTACGTGGCGTTTTTATCAAGTCTTATCGCCAGGTTTTATGTATTCCTCTTGTATAATCTTTTGACGTTTTGTGAGTCATCATACACACCTATTAGAGATTATTTGAGGAAGTCAGAAGATCTCTGGATGACCCGGTAAACACTTGAGCTACGATTCACTGAAGTGCAAATACTTGCATCCACATCCATAATATGGTGTCCCTATGATGTAACGTGATTGTATACGTACCTTTCTTTTGTTTTCACAGCTGTCCAGTACGCTGAATGTTCGTCCCTGACTCAGGCCGGTTTGAAGGAAGTTTTCGACAGTGCCATTCGTGCGGTTCTCAACAAAAGAGCGGACAGGCGGCGAGCCAAGAAGAGTTCACCACTGTGTAGCGTTCTCTAACCCATTCACCAATCAGCGTTCTGTGACTGTGACCAATATTTTGATCGCCAGGACTTACCAGAGCTGCAATGCCGGCACAGGTCGTAAGATGACACTGTTTATAGTCGATCGAAACATCTTTGTGCATTAATGCTTCAAAGTACTAAAGACCAGTCTACTCCAACTTCCTTAAGGAGAAGAAGATACTAGAAGTCGGCCCATACTTACGCATTCCATTGTTTCTTGGATAACCTGAATGTAAAAGTTCCAGTGTGTGTGTTTCTGCACATTTGTAGTCATCATAACTTCAGAACGCCTTTATGGATTGTGATGATATTTGTTATGTTGGTATGTTGTAAGAAGACAAAGGTCAAGGTCAAATATGGGCCTCCTAGTGACTGACCTTGGTATTGCAGCAGACCCCTTTTTTGTCTCTTTTGTCCTGAACATGCTATGGTCTTGGATGTTTGGTCACAGATAGCTTTTCCTGGCAGAAGAAGCTATCTGTAACCAAAGATAAAAAAAAATGGTGTGTTTTTTTCCGATTCCCCTAGCAGCTAAGGATGGGAATTTTACACGCAAAATATTATAATTTGAGTTTAGAAAACCATAAATCAAACTAGATTATGGTAATTATAACAATCGATAAGACAAATAAGAAACATTTACAAAAGCTCTACATATTTCATGGAGGTATGAGGTCTCCAATTTTTGTTGTTATACGAACCGGTACATTTACGGGTAATACAATAACAACAATGTCATACTGTTGCTATATGTGTCTGTAGCGTTATGATATTTATTTATATATTATGATATATACTTTTTATTGAGTATATTGTCACATTGTCTATGTCAATAAAACAAATTCAAAACGCTGACCAACGCTAATTTAATGCCGACCAAGTTTGTTATGTAATTAACGCCAGACCAAAATTTCATAATTTCAACATACAGGCCTTATGATGCACCAGGGTAGACGATCGCGAAGCTTGCTACCTCGCTAAGTTTGGATAGACTATAGTACATGATAATTCACCGTTTTCCCATTCCCAGATTGCAAAGCGCAGGGAGGTATCCTGTTGACGTTAAACAGCATGTTTTTCTGTGTGTCTTGAGGTGTTGGGGCATTTTATTAATTGACTTACTATTGGTCGAATCTGACAACAACTAGAGAATGATGTAGTATACAAATATCAGGGGATCAAACTTCATTGTTTTAGTTTCTGTCAGCAACAAATGTAAAACAGCACAGAAACACATAATTCAGATCACATTGTGCTATGCAACCTGGGAATTTTTACCCCAGGCGCAGTGCACCATGGGAATGAGAAAATGTCGAATAACGGTCCACTCGGTGATGTATTTTTATAGTTATAGGAAATGACCAGGTCTTATGACACCATATACACCTCGAGGTGCAGTCATTATCCCTTAATTATATCAGCTTCCCTTTGCAATTTATCGAGATATACTGGAAATAGTACAGAACTAAGCTTCCAATTGTACGCTGACTGGCTGGAGCTAGTTTTCAAAGTTATGGTACACGTCATTTGTTTTGTTACGTAAACCCGACAAACGACGCAATGTGCAGTAGTTCCCACGTCTGAAGAGATAAGAAATTCAAAAATAAAAAGACTACAAACAGGACCTGCCAAAAGTCAACACAGCTGCTTTCCGTCCGGTGGTCGCTTCAAGGAGAAACGTACCGCTTATTTAACAGGTGGACAGAAGGAGGCCTACATGTATTAGCCTGGTTACCAGACCTTTTATAGCTCCCGAGTCCTACCTCCTCTCCACAAATTTCTATTGTATTCGGGAGCTATGATAGGCCTGGTAACCAGGCAATACATGTATGTCATTTTTACGTAATCAACAGTTCTAGTTCCAGAGTCTTAACTGGTCCGCTTAGCTCTAAGGTAGAACCTATCGGTACATTCTACGGTAACTGATGCCTGAATTTTCGCAAACGTGATAAAATACGCTTGTTCTAAGACATGGAGCTGAATTTTAGGGTGAAACGAAGTCACACTACCCGATTAAACCTAATACGGTAGCACTTTTATTTTATTTTATTCACATAGATTTGAGAGTATTGTACAGAAAGAACATAATGTGTTTACGACGATCCTTTGCTCATAAAACATAAAGAACACAATCACAAAGTTGGGGTAACAAATACAAAACATACAGTCACTTCTGAATCTATTTTAGAGCACTCCCAACACAGCCCCCCCCCCATTAAACTATGAGAATTTACGTATTCAATAAATATAGCAAGATGTTGTTTTGTAGCGAAATATACATTTCACTATAGTCTTCAAAATATACATTTTACACAAAAAATGAATAAAACATTTTACTATGTATGATAAAATGTACATTCATCTAATTGTACAATATAACAATGGAAATTTAGAGCAGGGTGTGTTATGCGTTTGTTCGCAAATGTTTTCTCTCTACGCTTGCAACAATTTGATGAAGGCAACACAATAGAAAATGGGGTCTAACGCTATCAACATGTTTGCGATAAAACTGTGTTTGATCCCAGGGCCGCTAGTCTGAGTCGCTTTCGTCGGGTCTAAAAATATCAGTGTGTTTGCGGTAAGACTGTTATCATGTGGGCGGATTTACATTATGATTAGTGTGAAGGTCGGGACGCTGATGTGACGGTAGCAGGTGGGAGGGTCAAAAAGCGGGTTGGGGGATAAATGATGTGAGCTTTTCAATATACGCCCTGCCCAGGGCATAGCCATAACAGACCTGATTATTTAGCACATTTATTCAGTTAGTATTTGTAAAAGAGGGCAAAACACGAATTAAGAGCAAAAGTGGTGCTAATGCGTAGTTTGTACTTTTAACCCAATAAATTTCAAAGAAATGTCATACTAGCGAAAAAATGAGTTAGAGGGGTGTTAACTCATTTTTTTCACCAGTAAGAGGTTGTATGAAATCTCCTACTAAGTTAGACTGGTGTTACCTAATTATTTTACTACTAAGAGGTTACATCCGTAGTCTGGAAAAATAACAAATTTAAAAATGGGATTACAAACAGTTAAAATTTGCATTTCTAAAATTACATAAAACAAAAGTCAACAAACTTGCTTCCCGTCCGGCAGTAGAATGCGTAATTATGATATTTATATCTTTTGTCACGTAACGCCCATCGATGATAAAATAAGCAAATCACTGTTGACACAATGACGACACAGACATTTAGCTATTAATAAGAGCGGTGTTGCGATCAACAGAGGTTCAGTTGTACAAGTCTACTCGTGCACGTAGCACGATTCTGTGGAAAACAGCTCTGTTCGGTTTGAGTTTGGTAAAAACGTGAGAAAGGAATGATGCAGATCGTCTTCATCGCTTTGGCTGTTTTCACAGTCTCAGGTATTTGAATGATATATTGATAATCGATTTTTAGTCTCCAATTGTAATTCTAGGTACCGTCTTCGTAATCTTCAAGCAGATCGTTCGGTGGCCGCAAGACAGTATCAAATTGGCCAGGCAGTATCCATTAGCCAGACAGTATCCATTTGCCACCGAACAATGGGGAACTGCCTGGCCAATTTGATCTACTGCCTTGCGCCCACCGAAAGATGATGCTTGGAGATTACCGTCTTCGGTGTATCAGGCCAGTCTCCCAGTCTGAGTGACGACGCGGTCACATTTGTCGTAGCATCAAGTCGTGGACGTTAAACGTTTGATAGAAATCATGAACACTTGTAGAGAAAGAGTAGACTTATAAAGATGCTGATGAAAAAGTATGAAGTAGATAAAATGTGTTATATAATGTTTGAATAGCAGTAAATCTGGTCTCTTTTCTTGCTTCTTATTTTCATAAGTCAACGCCCAGTTCTGCAACTTTGACCACTCGTTCTGTGGTTACACCAATGACCCCACCAAGCCTATGACTTGGGAAGAGTTCGATGGCAACAGTCACGGACACGGACATGTGCAGATCGAGGGCAGTGGGCCATCGGAGGACCACACACATCAGGGAGGTACTGTATCAGACATATCAATTCAAATACATTGTGACACACCAGTAAATCGTGCTCTACCGTTTTTTTACCATTTATTCACTGGGTAACATGTATCCACCACTTTGAAAAATTTTGTGTTTCGGAAATCCAAAGATAAACAGCCTAAGTATCTCATGGCAAACAATACGTATACATGTACATATTACCTCTCACGAGTGATAAAATAGGCTTCTATGATTAATATGATTGTTCCTGTGCTTTATATGATTCAAATCATTATGTGTCTTCTATCCCCTTCTGGGTAACTAAGCCTGGTAGTTCTACCTGCCTGACTTCAAAAAAGAGCCCTAAGGCAGTGTGTGTCGGGTGCGCTATGCTGAGGTAAAATTTCCTTGGGGGTATGTCAGTCCTGGTCCCGAAGAGATGGCCTGCGTGTGCCCTTGCAACCGCCTGGAGTCCAGGATTTGTTTGTTACGCATAACCGGTACTATAGTGAACCGCTTGGGTGAAAAACAACGGTTGTCTAAAATACTGTATGCAGTTCCTGTGTCATACCAGTTTGGTGGGATTTAAAGCGGGACCTCTGGCTTCAAGTTCCACCCGATGAACCACCTTGCTACCCCATATTCCACCCTATTAGCAGTATGAGTTCATAAGTCGTCCATCTTTAATTCATCACGTCAGGTCACGGTCACGGTTGGTTCGCGCAGTCCGACTGTGCCAATAACCTGCCGGGGGATGAAGCCTGGCTGGTCAGTCGCGAACTCACCGGCACCGCTTTCCTGGACTTCTGGTACACCATGAACGGCGGCGACCTGGACCTGTCCGTGTACATCCTGCAGGGAGGGCAGGAGATTCAGGTCTGGAACAGGATGAACATCGACAACCCCTTCTGGCTGCGCGGTTCCGTGGCCCTCGACCCCCCAAACTTCTATCAACCGTACCGGGTAAGTGTAATCTGCATGTTTTTGAACGACACGTATGCACCAGTCACAATTGCCTGGCACCATTCTTACGGATAAACTCGAGATATTTTCACGATCATGTTACCTACATAGTTCCCGGCTTCAGGACCAAAATGTCCCTAGGATACTCTACAAACCACGAACAACAAGGTCTAACTGAGGCAATGACCTGTGCATCAGTCTTGCATCAAGGCTAGCTCGAGCCCACAAAGAAGAATAGGAATAAACAGAACAGTAGTTTGTTGAGGCTAGAGCATGTAAAGGTAAACATTGTGCATTTGCTTTGCAAATGTTACCTGTCTAGTCTACTTTTGACTTGTTTTTTATGGGGAATATTTATGTACTGATATTACTTTTTGTTGTTTGTCAGATCGCCTTCGTGACAGTCCGGGGGGCAGACCCACTGTGCCACGTGGCTATTGATGACGTGAACATCAACATAGGTAACCTCAGTGTAAAAGTTCCTTTGCTTCGTTGCTGAAGCAGTAGAGCTGATTTATAAGCAAATGTTTGGGAATGGAACCGCATTGTTTCCTTGGCAGTCTAGCTTGTCTGGCAGCCACAACCGCAATTCAAGTAGTCAGAAATTCTTTCCATCTTACCCCAAAATTTCAGAGCAGAATAGCGTCCAACAACACAGGAAACCATGACAAAGAAAAGGCATAAGCCGTTGCAAATCTATGTCAATTTCGAAAATCTTTCTCTTCTGAATAATTTTTAGCATGTCATGTTTATGCAGTATTGATCACTGATCATACCACCAGGCAGTCAGTTTTTCGAATGCGTAGCGATAGCAAAATTTTATTCAAATTCTAATTCTAACAAATTATGTTTTACCCTCGACTTGATGGACGTCGCCATATTGACCTGTGACATCATTGATCGGCAATCTTGAAAAAGATCTAGAGCTCAGTTGACCTACTTCAATAATCAGATTTACATTACGTCAGGTTGTTTGTAGCTAACATCACCATGCACACAGCACGGCACTGAACTAACGGATGAATCTCATTCCAGTCGCCGTGCCCCACAACCCCAAGCCGCCAACTGAAGCTCCTACCACTGCCCCTACCGCTGCCCCTACCGATGCTCCTACCGAAGCCCCTACCGTTGCTGCTACCGATGCTCCTACCGATGCTCCCACTGACGCCGCTACCGATGCTGTTACCGACGCTGGTACCGTCCCACCCCAACCGGACACCGCTGCTCCCACCGACGCCGTGACTGCTGCGTCCCAGCCCGCCACTAAGCCTGTGACCGACAAACCTACCGACGCTGCTACGCAGCCCCACCACAACCACCACCACCATGCCAACCACCACTACGACTACAACACCTGAACCCACGACCACGATGCCTACAACCCCCGAACCCACAACCATCAAAGTGACCACTCCTGAGCCCACGAAGCCTGGCTTGACCATTCACTGCAACTCTGACATGATACAGGTCGTCGTCGACAGGGCCGCCGCTCCCGACCTGAACGAGCAAACCACCCACCTGATCGACCCTACCTGCGTGGCGACCGCCAACGCGACTCATCTCGTGTTCGAGACCGCTCTGGACGCCTGCGGCACGACTCGACAGGTAACGGCCCCTCGCAGGACGTCGTCCTAGACTGATTTTAAACTGTCTTTGACCACCGTGACTGCCGACAACAATCTAACACACTTTTAAAGTAACAAAACAGCTAAATTGTGTAGGACAAATTTGCAATCATACGAAGTATCTGATCGGACTGATCGGTCCATACGTGCCATCCGTCGTACAAGAGTGCAAAGTTTGGGTATCCTTAAGACAATCACATTCAGCTTCCTTGTGATGGGGAAGTGTTGCCGTAGATCCTTGTGCGACAAACAAAATCATATGATGCCCATGACTGTGTCCTTACTAGTATGTATGTCGTTTCAATAATGCAGGATCCAATGTTTTATTGTTAGAATGGAATTTGTGAAAACACATGGAATTGACTTTTGAAGGGGCTGTACATGCAAGGTTCAGCAGTATGTATCTCACTTTTTCTCGGGACATGTTTTGTTCACAGGAGACAGAGAACTACATCATCTACTCCAACGCGCTCGACCAGCGAGTCGGCGAGATCAGCTTCATCGGAAGTCTCGACTTCCACTGCGCCATTTCTCGCGAGACCTTGGTGAGCGGCACGTTCACACCCGGTAGCGCCAAATTTGGCCGGGTGATCAATTACGACCCCTTCGCTTTCGGTGAATACAACAGCGAGATGAGGTTCTTCCAGGACAACAGTTACCAGCACGAGCTGACGGCGCCTATCAGCGTGTCCGTGGGAGACTACCTGTACGTGGAGACGCGTCTGCTGTCATCGGACAAGGACCTGCGCATCAGGGCCACCAAATGTGTCGTCACCACCGACACCTCCCCAGACAGCAGCCCCCAGTATGTCGCCATCGATAACAAGTAAGTACGGGTCTGCCTATTCACCGGAATACACCGGAAAACAGATATTGGAGGCTTAAATTTACCGAAATACACCCTGCATTGATGAGATAACAGCCTAAGTCGCTGGGGTCATCCCAGTGCATTATTGTACGATGAATGGAACGTTTAGTCCACAAACTGACCACTTAGACAACGACTGACTATATCTCAATTCTTGAATGCCAGGAAGTCTTCCAAATGTTTTGTTAGTCATCATTTTAAATGAACATTCTTAAAATCTAGTTATGTTTCTTGTTCTCTGTGCCCTAAATATGGGTTTTTACAAGTTCTAAGCTTCCTGGTTTCAGCAGCCGCAAATATGGCCATGGATATCTTGCACCTCCAAACGATGATCCATATGGAGTCCTAGCCCAGATAGGATACCACTTTTTAGTCAGGGATCTTCCAAAAGCAAAGTTTCACTGTGATGTAGCATATGAATTCTTATTTTCCTCATTTTATTCCCGTGACAACACCTAGGTGCCCTGCTTCTACCAGTGTGGTGCAACTCTTGGCCTCCCCATCATCCGAGGTTCAGCGGTTCAGCATGAGGGCCTTCGAGTTCGTTTCTAACCCTAACTCACCGGTATGTCAAATCTACATTAACATGTCATGTTTATATATACAGACAAAAAGCTAAATGATGAAGTGTAAAACAATGCATATTATTTTTTAAGGATCGTATTCACCATCTAAATACCTACTTGTTGTATCTCTTTACCCACCAGGTCTACCTCCACTGTTACCTGCTTGTCTGCTCCGCTGCTCCCGGCAGCCCTTGCGAGGATACCTGCGCGAGATCCGGCAAGGCACGACGGGAAGCTCCGGCTCTCGGCTCTGGTACAGAACATCTTTTCATTCGTCTTCAGTTTTAACCAAACCGTTCTTGCTGTTTTTTGACAGTTCGTAAAAGGTTTTTCCTCTGTTCAATCATATTATACACGCCACCTAAACCCCAACAAACTTACATCTCTGCAAAATCGTAAAATCTAGGCAAATAAGGAGAATTTCCCTACTGTGGGACGTCGGATGAAGAGTCTCTTACTTTGACTTCATGAATCTTCAATTCAATGTTACAGTTGTGCGCATGTCGGCAGAACTGCCTGTGAAGAACACCAAGCTCTTCAGTCCTGCAGCAGCCGCCATCGCGGGAGCGGTGGGAGTCATCGCGCTCGTCGGAACAGCCCTTGTTGTTCGCCGTTACCGAAAGAGCCGTCACCCCACCGACGAGATCGACATGTAAAAGAGATGTTAAAAAACGCTACAATTACGCCCCCCTTGCAACTGACGATTTTGTTCTGTAATCATTCGTGATAGAAAATTCCTAATTCTGCTTCTGCCGTTGTCGCCGCACCAGCCCATCAGGATCTGACATTTGTTTAACAAGTGTCGTTCATTCAATAAAGTAGTGACAACGAACCTGTGTCCTCAGAGACGTCATCTTTCTTATGGAGATTGTATAATAAAATATCTACTCGTTTCCATTCTACGTAGCGTGATTGGCGTCTGAATTTAGCGTAAAGCCAAGACTTAACATAATCTATAAATGTAATAAATATTTTTTTGTTTTGGAGCGAAAAAATACTTTTCCCTATGAATTAAACGAAAGACTACATTTTCATATAGTTGCTTGATGTATATTGTATAATTTAATAAAAAGTATAGTTAAGGAAATTTAGGGTGGGAAATGTTACATGTTTTCTCGTTAAGTTTTCTGTCTACCCTTAAGCTGTTTCTTTTATTATTTAAATCCCCAAGGCCGCTTCTACCTGTTTGTGTACAACGGTCTTTCTTCTGTGTTTGCTAAAACTGTGTTTGATCCCATGGCTGCTTCCGACAGCCGTACGGATAAGTCACGTTACCTAGACCCAGAGCCTTCTTGGGGTCTCAGTGTGTTTGCGATAAGACTGTTATCGTAACTTGGCCGGATTTACATTATGATAGATGTGAACGTCAGTACCCTGAAGTGACGTTAGCAGGTGGGAAGAGTCAAAAAGTTGAGAGGGGGGGGGAGAACAATGATGTTCAGTACGTCGTGCCCCGTGAGGCCATAGCAACAACCATGAAACAATACAAATACTAGTACTCCTCTAGCCGCCTTTGTAGGCGTTCGCAGTGCGGTCGGCGTCTTTTACACTGAGTCCCTTTCTTAGGGAAGGCGGTCGAAGAAGCGCCAATAAGAAAATTGGAGTAAAAATTAGAAGTACAAATTAGCGCCCCCACCCCTCTGGTGTGTTAATAAGCTACGGTCAAATATTGATGATATCAGGATTTCACCCCCTGGCAAAGTGGGTCAGTCCATCCAGTCAGGAAGTATTTGGGGTCAATAACAGGGATACTCATGCGAAAGGTTACACTTTTGTAGCAGATTTTAAAATATACATTTTTCTGTCCTCCTTACCAGAAACCTCAGCCTTTCTTAGTAGAACTTGCCCAGGAAAAAAAATTATTTAAAAAATAAGTCCGAAAATATATTGGTGTATAAAGTGCCTTTTCTGCGCATGCCGATTGACTGCCCCCCCCCCCACAGGAATGAATATACTTACCTGGAGATGTCTTGTCCTTGTAATTGTGACATTCTCGTCCTTTTCGGGGATTTCAGCCTGCTACTAGTGTGTGAGTCCTGTTGTCCTTTCGGGGATCATGATGCATGAACTGGTTTGAATTTTTGGGCAGCTGCAGCAACATGAATGAATTTTTCTAGTGGATCATCGTACTCGTTTTCATAGTGTATGCCAGAGCAGAGACTACGATCTGTTACAATCGTCGGCGATTTTCCCGGTAGAGATCCTGACCAGAGTCTTTGTCAACAAAGACTCCGATCAGGATGCTGTTAGTGTGTTCAAGTCAATCCATTTGACAGACGAGACATGAATCAAAGTTGAAAAGAAAATATCTTAAACTTTACAGACTCCAGTCGTGATCTCTACCGATAGAATTCTACCAGTCTCTACCATACCCTGACATACATACCGTCATCACAAGTCCGTAAGCTTCCAAACGGTGGCATCCTTTTGGAGAGAGGACCAACGCTCACAAGGCTGGCATCCAGGCAAAGGACCTTCTCCTTCTTTCATTGTACTGACCTTTTACAATGTGCAACATTTCCCAAGTACAAGTTTAAAAATAGGGTCTCAAACAGTTTAAGTTTGCACATATATATGGATATTACATATTATGAAAGTCAACAAAGTCAAAGTTGCTTCCCGTCCGGCAGGAGAAATATATATTTATGATCCATATCTTTGTCACGTAACATCCATGGATGATGCAAATCATTGTTGACACAATGACGACACACACATTTAGCTATAAATAAGAGCAGTGTTGGAATCAGCAGACGTTCAGTTGTACAAGTCTACTCGTGCACGTAGCACGATTCTGTGGAAAACAGCTCTGTTCGGTCTGAGTTTCGGCAAAAACGGGAGAAGAGAATGATGCAGATCGTCTTCCTCGCTTTGGCTGTTTTCACAGTCTCAGGTATGTCAATGATATGATGATTATCGGTTTAGTCTCTCATTGTCATTTTAGGCACCGTCTTCGGTGTATCAGCCCAGTCTGATCACGAGTAACGACTCGGTCACGTCCGTCCTCGACCGTCGTACGATTTTGATGCCGCAGAATTTTCAAGCTTAGGCAGACTGTAACAGAACCGACTGCCGACAAATATCTTAGACATGTCGACAGATGAATCTTGAAGAACACATGCACGGCTCTCTCACGATTGCCATCGGTTTGCGATCGCGTACTAAGATGTCTATGTCGTACCATGGTCGCACGACAGGTTAGGCTCATCTTGTCGACATATGTCACGCAAATATCATCGGTTTAGATATCGGGGACGGAAAAATTGCCAGGGGTGTTGATTTATACGTCATGGACTTTAAAAATGTCATGAAAACAGGAGCACTTGGAGAGAGAGTGGGCGACCCACCCGAGATGAGTATAGCTTAGATAAGATTCTAGTTTGACAATGAATTTACTCCTTTTTTGCTTCTTATATTTACAAGTCAATGGGCAGTTCTGCAACTTTGACCATTCGTACTGTGGGTACACCAATGACCCCACCAAGCCTATGATTTGGTCGCAATACGATGGCAAAAGTCACGGACACGGACATGTGCAGGTCGAGGGCAGTGGACCATCGGAGGACCACACACATCAGGGAGGTACATGTATTATATCAGACCTATCAATTCAAATATTTGTGTTCTTTGTGATTATGAAACACCGTTACGTCCCACCAGATGGACCTACTTGCTATCCTATATTCAGCACTAAGCGTTTTAAATTCATAAATATAGCTTCTATCTTTGTCAGGTCACGGTCACGGCTGGTTCCTGCAGTCCGACTGTGCCAATAACCTGCCGGGGGATGAAGCCTGGCTGGTCAGCAGCGAGCTCACCGGCACCGCTTTCCTGGACTTCTGGTACACCATGCATGGCGGCGACCTGGACCTGTCCGTGTACATCCTGCAGGGAGGACAGGAGATCCAGGTCTGGAACATCCAGGGCATCGATAACCTCAACTGGCAACGCGGTTCCGTGGCCCTCGACCCCCCAAACTTTAATGAACCGTACCAGGTAGGTCTATATATGTTTTGTTACCTCTCACTCACTCAAGGCCGCATGCTTCTTCAGACAGCGTAGCGCCTTGGCAGTTGGCTCTCCAGGTGGCTCTGGCTCTGTCTCTGTCTCAGACTAGCTACCTAGCTCCAGGGCCGACATGTCCCTATAGCTAGGCTATGAGCAACAGGGCCTAGCTGAGGCAATGGTCTGTGCACTGGCCTTAATTGGCAACAGTCTGGCATCCAGGCTAGTGCGAGCCCACAAGTAGCTCTGGTTGCTTGACTGGAAACGAGAGCATCGCACTACCACTAGCTATTTAAAAAAAACATCATGTGTCACCTCTTGTGCTTTACATTGTACTTTTGATATGTTACTTGTTGGGGAACATTTATGTAATGATGTACTGACGATCATTGTGTTTTTGTTGTTTTGTCAGATCGCCTTCGTGACAGTCCGGGGGAACAACAGACTGTGCCACGTGGCTATTGACGACGTCAACATCAACATAAGTAATGTCGCTGCACAGTATTTTGCAACACAGTATTTTGCAGTATTAGTAAGCCATACTAGGCAGGCAGTTAAAGGTTTTTGAACGCGTTGCAAAATCTTATCCTGCTTTACCCTGAAAATACTGGGTGTCGCCATATTGACTTTTTACGTCATGGTTCGACCATTTTGAAAAAGACCCCAGCTGACCTATTTCGACTAATTACGAATCAGATTAGCATCATGTCAGATATCTATGTAGTTGACATCACTAAACAAAGCGAAGCCACTAAACTATGTCTATGTATGAGACTTAAGTCTTAAAGGTCATTCTGAACGCGAAACATCATTATAAGATTAAGAGAAATTCGATTTCTAAATCGTCGGGCTAACAGACACATCCCATTACAGTCGATACACCAGCGCCCCCCACGACTACAACGACCACACCGTTGCCCACAACCAAGCCGGAAACTACCGACGCTCCTACCGATGCTCCGACCAATGCTCCGACCAATGCTCCGACCGATGCTCCGACCGACGCTCCTACCGACCCATCCCAACCGGACACCGCTGCTCCCACCGACGCCGCGGCAGACACGACTACTCCGTCCCAGCCCGCCACTAAACCTGAGACCGACAAACCTACCGATGTTGTTACGCAGCCCCCACCCACAACCACCACCACCATGCCTACAACCACTACGACTACAACACCTGAACCCACGACCACGATGCCTACAACCCCCGAACCCACAACCACCCCCGCCCCGACGGAGCCTATCGGCATGACCGTTACCTGCAGTTCTGATGTCATACAGGTCGTCGTCGACAGGGCCGCCGCTCCCAACCTGGACGAGCAAACCACCCACCTGATCGACAACTCGTGCGTGGCGACCGCCAACGCGACTCATCTTGTGTTCGAGACCGCTCTGGACGCCTGCGGCACGACTCGACAGGTAACGATCGGGGCGGTCACATTCTAGTCTCTACCGACTAACTACGCTGCAGTTTTTGGGAGGGTTGTACATGTAAGGCTCATTAATATGTTCATGTATCTCACTTTTTTGGGACATGTTTTGTTCACAGGAGACAGAAAACTACATCATCTACTCCAACGCCATCGAGCAGAGAGTCCACGTGGTCGACGGGGACATCAGCTTTCTCGGAAATCTCGACTTCCACTGCGCCATTTCTCGCGAGACCTTGGTGAGCGGCATGTTCACACCCGGTCACGCAAAAGTGGGCCGGCTGATCAATTACGACCCCTTCGCTTTCGGTGAATACAACAGCGAGATGAAGTTCTACCAGGACAACAGTTACCAGACCGAGATAGCGGCGCCTGCCAGTGTTGTCATCGGGGATCCACTGTACGTGGAGACGCGTCTGCTGTCATCGGACAAGGACCTGCGCATCAGGGCCACGACATGTGTCACCACCACCGACACCGACCCGGACAGCCACCCTCAGTTTGTCGTCATCGAAAACAAGTAAGCAATCCCTATCGTATCCAAAACCGTGCCAATTCTAAATTTGAATGAGTTAGGGTTAGGGTTAGGGTCAGGCACAGTTCTGGATAGTCTTTGCGTATCCAGATCGCAAATGTGACCTAGGGGCGGTTCTGGGTATGCGTGGACCATCCAGAACTAGACTGAACAATGAATGGAACGCATCAAAACAATGCTTTCTTTCAGTAGAAGTCAAATCAGGTAGGTTTTAGTGACTTCTAGTTGAAGAAAATTTCAATTAGCCCTCCGACAAAAATTATCATGATATTGAATAATATGAAATAACAGTATTTCAAGTTAATTTCTATATCAATATATGTCTTGTTCTTCCTTTACTGCCCAAGATGTTGTTGATGATTATCCTGGCGTAATCGTAAAACATAATTTTTCAATATGTCCTTTACATTCATGTTTCTCCCAGGTGCCCTACTGACGGCAATGTGCTGCAGCTACTGCCCTCCCCATCACCCGAGGTTCAGCGGTTCAGCATGAGGGCCTTCGAGTTCGTTTCTAACCCTAACTCACCGGTATGTCATATCGTAACAAACCTTTTCTGTATGCCTTTACATACTGTTGTCAGCATGTGGCATGGCATAGTATGGCGCGAAACCGTAATGCATTGTGCATAGTAGATAGTACTTCAGAAGAACGTCTCATATTAGGTCGTATTCGCGTCGGTTAACATCCCGACTGTAGTGTCCAAATGTTATGTCGGAATACATATCCTCTGCAACAGGCAAAATGCAAATGCAACGGTGACCGGAAACATCCAACGAAAACAGTGAAAAATACATGGTTTCGTGCTGGAAAGAGTACGGTATGGTGGGTATCACGTGCGTACTCTAGGGCCCTACGAAAATTTCAAATTGCCTGAACCTGATACATTTTACAACCCTTTACCTAGTTGCTTTATTTGTTTTACCCACCAGGTCTACCTCCACTGTTACCTGCTTGTCTGCTCTGCTGCTCCCGGCAGCCCTTGCGAGGATACCTGCGCGAGATCCGGCAAGGCACGACGGGAAGCTTCCGGCTCTGGGCTCTGGTATGGCACCAACATCTTTTCTCTCCTTTCAATTTTCTAATTAAACCATTGTCTTGTTACTGGTTGTTTATAGATGATTATCACAATAATAATTCAAATGTTATGGTTATGTATTTCAATGGCTTTCTGCAGATTAATTGTAAATACGTGTTATTCAATGAAATACAGTGTGTGAGTCAAATCTGAAAAAAAATCTAGGGTTGAATCAGAAACCATCTATTAAGGGTTTTTCTACTGTTTGGACTAATTGCATACATCTTGTCTCCTGAAATCATACTATACCCGCTCCGGTCTACCGTAAAATCTAGGCAAATGAGAATTCTGCTGAAGATTCTCTTACTTTGACATCATGACTTTCAAATTCAATGTTACAGTTGTGCGCATGTCGGCAGAACTGCCTGTGAAGAACACCAAGCTCTTCAGTCCTGCAGCAGCCGCCATCGCGGGAGCGGTGGGAGTCATCGCGCTTGTCGGAACAGCCCTTGTTGTTCGCCGTTACCGAAAGAGCCGTCACCCCACCCAGGAGATCGACATGTAAACGTCAGTGACGGGGACTACGACGCCATTGCAACAGACGATTTTGTTCTGTAATCATTCGTGACAGAAATAGTTTCTAATTCTGCTTTTGCCGTTGTCGCTGCATCAGCCCATCAGGATCTGACACGCTAGAACACATTTGTTCAACAAGTGTCGTTCATAAAATAAAACAGTGACAACAAGCTTGTGTTATTGGCAACGTCAATTTTCTTATCGATATTGTATAAGGAGTTTGTCCAGTCGAACTTGACAATGTGCATAGCGCTTTACAGGTTTCAACTAGCTGTACTTTTCGCAATGCCGGCGTCACAATCGGTCAACGGCCGGTCGAACGAATTTGTTTGCCGCCAAAAGGTGACCTCCAGGAGAGTTATATATATGCGCGGTTTTTTTCTTGTATGTGTGCTGTATTTGGAACAAAGTTTTATAGCTCTGTATCATATTTGTATAGGTGGTCGTGTGGCGTAACGACAGCGTTTTTGGCCCAGAACCCAGAGGAGTTAGGTTCGAATCCTGCCATGTCACCGATCTTGTGTCCTTGGGAAAGGTACTTAGTGCACACCCATGCACGTGTGTACTAGTATAATGGACTAGTACGAGTACCTGACCTTGCTTAGCTTGGAGTGAAAGGAGAGGGTTGGGCTCTGCCTTCCAATATAATACCGTGCCCTTGACACAGTGAATAACAACCCACCCTATGGCCTAAATACGCTATGGGACTACTTTTACCTACCTACTTTTTTTAGCATATCTCTACGTAGGTAAACCTTCATTCTCATGATTAAACACTACCTACATGTATATTTGCTCATACAAAGGACCTGGGCGCTGGTTTGACGCGCACGGAAGTGTCCTTGGTCATATCTCAGTGTCCTTGATGATATAAAAAGCGGCGGATACAGCATGGTACAAACTGGCACCTTGCAAGCATTCGACATTAGGCCACAGCACTGGCGCAAATTTTATGAATGACATCCTCCGTAGACTTTATATTAAATGTGAGAGGGTGAAAAAAACAAGGCGTGATAAGCAAACAAGATTCCTACATTTTCAAATTTTCAACTCATGAACCTTGTTAAAAAAAGAAATGATAAATATAATGTGCTAAGTTCACTGCCAACTATTACAACAGCTATTTGCCACTGAATCAACTTTGAAAAAACATGTTTTCAATCATCTAGATAGGTTGTTTGCTGAAAAAAAAATCTGTGTAAAAAATTGACCAGAGGAGTCATAGAATTCATCATCATCATTTTTGTAACGAACGAACGGACCAACCTACACTCCAATGTTCGACCAAGCCCTATGATAAACATCCCCCCCCCCATTTTAGCAAATTTCTACAAATTTTTTCAGCCCTCCAAGGGGTCAGGTAGAGGCTACCACATCCTACATTGGCGCGACAATAATAAAACGTGTTGTAGAACTGTCGCGCTACCAGGCGTTACCAGGGCGACTGTAGAGTCGACCTGGTAACGTTAGCTTGCTGTGCTGAATTGTACCGCAATGCGACGCTTCTGTACCGAGCGCCGTGCGTGGGGAGGGGCACAAATTGCCCTAAAATAGTCATCAATAGTGGCATAGTGTTTTATTCTGGGTGGACGGAATTAATAGCTTACTGGGGTCGGCTCAAGAACCCAAATATAATTAGAAGTGATTGCCATAAGAAAAATGCACCGTAAAAGCCATGTGAAAGCCACAGTAGTAGAGGCTGCCAAGGAGGCTAGAGAATGGATACATTGTGCGTGTGTCTTCGTGTAAACAGTAGAAACTCGGTATTTCCAAAATAGTTCAGATAAACCTACTGTGGAAAGAAGGGAGTCGTCTGTTAGGCCGTCTGTCTCTTCTGACAAGTTGTTTATATGTCGCCTCCTTTTCTTCGCCCCTTTCTCCAACCCGACTAACAATAAGACAAATGTTGGTAGTATCAGGTGTTTGATTAATTCAGTCCAGGGGCAAACCGTTAATAATCAAAGAGGGAGGGGCATTACCTGGTGTAAAGCAATCAAAAGTTTAGATGTGAACCTTTAAGTATTATTATTAAAACACGTTATATCCAATGCTTGATAATGTTAGAATCTTGTTTATATGACACTCTTTCCATCTGTGACTTCACATCACATATACACAGCCACCATCACATATAAAAGGAATAAAATACATCACTGCATCAAAGTTAAAGACAAAACAATAAATCAGAGCCTTGTCTTGTCTCCTCTCTTTATATTTATCTGCCATCCACGTTCCGGCATGACAACAGACATCTTTGCCCATCTTTGCCTAGGAACGGCCTAGGAACGGCCAAGGAACGGCCTAGGAACGGCCAAGGAACGGCCTAGGAACGGCCTAGGAACGGCCTAGGAACGGCCAAGGAACGACCAAGGAACGGCCTAGGAACGGCCTAGGAACGGCCTAGGAACGGCCTAGGAACGGCCAAGGAATGGCCTAGGAACGGCCTAGGGACGGCCTAGGAACGGCCTAGGGACGGCCTAGGGACGGCCTAGGAACGGCCAAGGAACGGCCTAGGAACGGCCTAGGAACGGCCAAGTTCGCCATCACCGTCTGACAATCCGCCGGTTGAAGTTCCACCCCACCCCCCACCCCCACTGCTATTCCAAACGACGGATTTTTCTGGACCATTCCAATTTGCCTCATAACTATATGGGTGCATCTGCAATATTACATTGACCGCGAAAGCAGCAACGGCAAAAATACACATTCGTGCATCAACACGGGCATGCCCGCAGACGGCGTATAAAATTGCATACCGATTACACAAAGAGAACCCAGTGTTTTGACTGCGAACACGAAAAAACGACTCTTCTTCACAACACTCCGTCCGGAGGTCCTGACCTCCTTCACGGAGTAAAAAGCAAACAAAACAGATATTAGAGGAACGGAATGCATTCGGTCGCCTCCTCAATGGAAAGGGTGTATTACTGACCATTCCCTTCTTAATTCCCCCCTACATTCAGCCGAAACAAGTGATTTAGTGTTATGAGTGGATCAATTTTCCCCCTTGCAAATAGGCCCGTCTGGATTGTTGCCTGTTATGTAAACATCACGAGTTCCCCTGTTGAGTGTAGACCTCGGGCTCGGTGTAACGGTTCACCCGCCAATACACACCTCACTACCGAAGACAGTCTGTAGACTTGTAGGGCGGTGGCCTTATTTTTTTCGGTGAGCGACGCGACTTATGCCGCAGAGGGACGGGTTTGCCGCCGAGCGAGGGAGTTTTGCCGGTAGAGAGGGTTTCGCCTCCAGCAACAACTCTCTTTTCTCCCCAAGAAAAATGATAGACTTGGCTAAATAGCCTGAATAATAGACTGAACAATACAGGACACCGTATTTTGCAACCTAACTCCTCTAGTATACTATTCAATTTATATGGTCAATTTCTGCTATTTTTTCAGCAACCTGTGGGTATTTGTAGTGGCTATGCATTTGCTACTGTGTGGACTATACACTAAGCGCTTTGAAATGGACTGTAAGCTGAAAGCGTTTTCAGGTGATGTCATCATTGTCCTCGCCGCCATGTTGGTGTCCCGATTTGCATTTTAGTGATTCACAGTATAGAGGAATGTACGCTCAAAACTTGAGGAACGTCCGCTCACCTGGAGGAGTGTACGCTCAAACCGCCGCCTGAGAAGTGCGCCGATTTTGGAGGAATGTACGCTCAAAACCGGAGGAACGTCCGCTCACCTGGAGGAGTGTACGCTCAAACCGCCGCCTGAGACGTGCGCCGATTTTGGAGGAATGTACGCGCAAAACCAGAGGAACGTCCGCTCATCCGGAGGAGTGTACGCTCAAACCGCCGCCTGAGAAGTGCGCCGATTTCGGAGGAATGTACGCTGAAAACCGGAGGAACGTCCGCTCACCTGGAGGAGTGTACGCTCAAACCTCCGCCTGAGAAGTGCGCCGATTTTGGAGGAATGTACGCTCAAAACCGGAGGTGCGTCCGCTCACCTGGAGGACTGTACGCTCAAACCGCCGACTGAAGTGTGCCGATTTCGGAGGAATGTACGCTCAAAACCGGAGGAACGTCCGCTCACCTGGAGGACTGTACGCTCAAACCGCCGACTGAAGTGCGCCGATTTCGGAGGAATGTACGCTCAAAACCGGAGGAACGTCCGCTCACCTGGAGGAGTGTACGCTCAAACCGCCGCTGAGAAGTGCGCCGATTTCGGAGGAATGTACGCTCAAAACCGGAGGAACGTCCGCTCACCTGGAGGAGTGTACGCTCAAACCGCCGCCTGAGAAATGCGCCGATTTTTGACGTACAGCGCACGTGATCTTCTGACCCTCTCAAATAACCACCATAGGATATTTACAGCTCAAAGACACAAATTTCAAAATATTTTTTTTAATTTTTTTATTCCGAAACATGTAATCACAAGACGTGGTGACGACACACTCAAGTTTTTTCAACTTATATTAATGCCGACACCAACACAGGGACAGTACAATACTCATTTACACCTGAGCGAAGTGAGGAGAGTGGTGTAAAGTGCCTTTCCCAAGGCCCCAAGATCGGTGGCATGTCAGGACTCGAACCCGGAGCCTCTGGTTCCGAGTCGAGAACGCTGCCGCTGCGCCACACGACCCCACTAATTTCAAAATATTGTGTATGCTTGAGCAATCAATTGGAAATGCAATTAGGGACACCAACATGGAAGTAAGCACCTGCCTGGTTCGTTAATATATAGAAAGTAGTGAAAACGCTCCATAGTAATGGGGACAGCACAGACTTTTCTGTCATCCAGAGTGCCAATTCAGCAACGTTCACAATGTTCACTGCACTATATTTTGTGAACGCCTGTTCCGGGCAAACATCGGACTTTTACAGCCACATGAGGACACATCCCACTACAGATGGATGACAAGGCGGTCCTCGTCGTGCTGAGGGACGAACGATTATATGTTGTGATCGTACAGAGCCAACACTTTATTCACACAATAATTCGCGCATGGAAGTTTCGACTATTCTACCGCAGTTTTTTTTTCAGAACTAAAATGGTCGACCAATCAAGCAGTCTTGTTTCATCAGCGTCTTAAAATTGTTACCTATCCACGATTCATGACATTCATTTATCTAGACTTTTTTGTCATTGAAAGAAAGGACATAAAGTAACCAAGTTTTGAAGGACCCTGCCCCCCTCCCCACTCCCTGTTCCATCGATTTCCCGTCCATCACAC